GCGCCACGCCCGCCGCGCCTGCCCGCGCGCCAACGCCCGCCGCGCCTGCCCGCGCTGCGCGCGCTCCCGAGCCCGAGTCCGAGTACGAGTCCGAGTCCGAGCCCGAGCCCGAGCCCGAGCCCGAGCCCGAGCCCGAGCCCGAGCCTGAGCCCAAGCCGCCCACACCCTTTTTCGCCGAGGAGAGCGCATCCCCGGACTGGTACGCCGTCATCAAAGGCCGTAAGGTCGGTGTCTTCGACAACAAGTACGTCTCATATCATTGACATACCCATATGTACTAACCTGACATGCAGCTTGGTGGCGGTCGCGTGCACCAACGGTGTCAACGGCTTCGGGATGAAACAGTACGGTACGCGCGCGGAGGCCATGAGGGCCTACCTTCAGGCTGAGCAGCTCGGCCTCGTGTTCCAGGTGGAGAAGTAGTGCATTTTTTTTGTCGTGTGTCGGTCGTCGTGTCCTTATGGCCCCCCTTCTATGTTCTCCGCATTTGTCGCTTTGCCCTTGTCTCGTCGTATCGCGCTCACCCAACCTCGTTTCTCCGCTATCATTTCTTGCATCTTGACATACACTCCTATATCGTCCACCCCCTCTCAGTCTCTCCCATAGATCTACCTCGTGTCGGCGTTCTGGAAAAATGAATATTTCATTTTTGCTCGAACCACGTGTGCTCTCAAAGTATATAACATCCACGATTGCAGCGTGAGGCTCCCACCCTCTGCGTGTCATGGGCCGCCGAGCGAAGTATCTCACTGCCGACGCGAAGCGCGCTGCCAAGAAAGCTCAGGCAGAACTTTACCGTCAAACCGAGAAGTAAGCCATCCCTTTTGCAAGCCAGCATTTATTGTATTGAAGCCGGAGTCTCGAACGTTACAGGGGGAAGGAAGCACGTAGGCGCGAGAACAAAAGACAGAACAACAAGCAACAAGCCCGCAAACTAACATGGGTTGGCGTCCTCGTCCCGCTCGAGCTGTACACCCGCTCGCAGAAGACCCTTCGAGCCTCATTCGCCGTTCAAGAGCCTGGGCCCTTGCTGGGCCTGTGGACGTCGCCGTATGAGTTCGCGATGCCGGACGTGAGCTCGTTGCCGACGATCGACGGCGGAAAGCGCGCCAAGGCTTCCGTTTGGAACTCCTGCGCAGCCGTTTTGGGTGCATACCAGTACGGCGAGGTCATCGAGACCGGTTGGCGGCGTTTCGAGCAGTGGATGGCGGATGATCTCGCGCTTGACGAGATAGAGGCGCAGGTGAAGGAGGAGGTTGTGGGAAGGGTGGAGGCATGGGTGCGCTTGGCTGACTCGGTGACGAAGGACGGGCCGGATGTAGATGTGATGACGGTCGGGCTGGACTGGGGCGCCAAGATCATCCGGATGCTTGTCGAGGAGTGGGAAATGAGAAAGGACGGGGATGCTGGGTATCGAGAACACCGTAGGCTTAGCAACTTACCCTGGCAGAGGATGATGAAGGATACCATGCGTCTGTTCAACCAGGAAATGCAGTAGCGGTAGCGGCATATTCTATGGTGCAATCGGTTACTGTATTGTGAGAGTGAGCAGTGGGTGCCGTGAACATAGGTTTCTTATACCTTCGTCGGCGACTTGCCGTGCACCGACGCCGCACTGGCTCAGGAAATTAGGACATGACCTTAACATGAATTATGAGTGATACAGCAGACGTTCCCTAGGTTCCACGGCCTTTCTAATGGCAGAAAGGACGTAGTACACATGTTTTCCGCTCAGACGGATTTGGAGGTACACCGTTATCAAGGCTGTGATTGGCTGACAGACAAGATCTGAGACGATCTCCATTACTCTCGATTAGGAAGCTCTTAACCCGTGTCAACCCGAGAGCTCACGACCCGCGTCAATCCGGGCGACCCGCAACTTAGTCCTTCCCGCCGTGTTGCCATGACTTGCGTGTACGTCTCTACTCCTTGCAGGTGGCCTCACACACCGTAAACTAATCTTATGGTCTCGATGAGCCATCCTCCAGACCCACGCGATAGCACCTGTGCAAGGGGGCGTCCAAGACTTTGGTGACACAACTCCCCGTCAAGTACCAGGTTGGGAGCCGACCAATCTCCTCTTCCACGGCATTGAGCCTCGGCAACGGGCACGAGGGCGCTCAGATAATGGCTATTGGGCATGGGACAGGACGATGTAAGCAGCCGAACAATGCTGGTGTAGTTCCACTCGCGCTTTTGGGCTCACCCCAGTCTTTGCAGGAGGCATTGTCGCAATATTCCAAGCTACGAACTAGCATTTGTCGGTAAGTCGTACGGAACATGCGTCGGTGTATCTGTACTAACTACTCGCAGAGTTGTGCACTTCCCCCTACACATACCCCAATCATTACTTCTGTCAACGGGGTTCTCGACCGTCAAGCCCGCACCACGTCGAGCACGCTTCGGTTGCATGGTATCTAGCCCACGTGTGTGCCGATGCCACCGGGCCTTTGTCGTAAGGCATGCAAAATAGAGGGTGTACTGCCGCAAGAGGCATGGGATCAGGCGACAACACACCCTCGGTCTCCCGATGGCAACCCCCTCTCGTTTTAAGGCTTCGGGACGAGTCACGGTGCAATCACCCGGGAGAGCGCTTTTTTCTTTGGGGTAGCTATCTCTCGCCCGCATTTAAGTGAGGGGGTTGAAGTCTTGAACGCCAGCCACCCCTTCCCCCCTTAAAGGCTCCCGCCCATCATGGCTCCTCGCTGGATCAACAAACTCTCCTCTCTCTTCATGAAGCGTCGCCGCAACGAACGCCGAGTCACTCATTTTGTTTTCTCCGATGACGAGCGTTCGGATGGTGAGAAGGACCCTGTCCTAGTCCCTCCTGCCGCCGACACCCATCGCCACGTCGACTGGTCGTACGGCACCGAGCGTACGTCTACTCAGACGACGTACTTCAACGTTCCTTCCTCTCCCAAACGACGCAAACGGTCGTCATCCCTTCCTTCCATGATATCCGTTGCGCCGTCGACGAGTAGCGACTCCTCCTCCGATCACTCCGTGGACCCGACAGACCTCGAGTACCTCATGAATCAGATCGAACTTCTGGGTGACGACGAGCAGCCGCGCGAACGCACCGCTGGGGTGAGTATTGTTTTACTTCGCGCTGAACCGCCCGCTAATCTTTCCTAGGATCGTCCGCTGATTATGTGGCTCGACGAAGCGGATGCCTACCTGAGCGAGCTCCTGCGACGCGAGGGGCGGGGTGACTTCTCCTCTACTCCGTGTGCTTGTGGCTCCAATGCTGCGCACGCTCAATATCGGTGCGAAGACTGTTATGGGGATCGTCTCTACTGCGAACGGTGCACCGTCCGTTTTCACCAGAAGCTTCCTCTTCATCGCATCAAGGTGAGTTAGGAAGACGTTTGCATATATGTCTATATACTGACATATTCTCGTCAGCGGTGGAGCGGCTTGTTCTTCGAGCGCGTTTCTCTCAAGTCTATGGGGGTCCGCGTCCAGCTCGGGCACGAGCCAGGCGAGGTTTGCAGGAACCCTAAGACTGCGGCTGGCGACGACTTCGTCGTGCTAGACGTCCTCGGCATCCATGAAGTCGGGCTCGACTTCTGCGGATGTGATCTTGCCCGTCCGCATCACAAGCAGCTTCTGCGTTTGGGTTGGTTCCCGGCCACGTCGGTAAATCCGAAGACCGCCGCCACCTTCCGCCTCCTCGAAGTCTTCCATACTCTCTCGAACCAATCCAAGGTTTCGGGGTGGGAGTACTACTGCGCTCTCGCCCAGCGCACAGACAATACGGGCACCAAGCCGCCAAAGGTAAGTCATTCTCACATCGAATACTCCCGTCGCTGATCGAGTTTATTATAGGATCGCTACCGCGCTTTCATGATGATGATCCGCCAATGGCGACATCTGAAAATGATGAAGCGTGCAGGGCGAGGCAACGTCGAGGGAGGTATCGGCGCTGCCGAGCAGGGCTCATGTGTTGTCGAGTGCCCGGCGTGTCCACAACCTGGCAAGAACCTTCCGAACGACTGGGAGACGGATCCGCCGGCCAGAAGGTACGTGTTGGTTCCCCGCTCGTGCCTCCCACACTCACTGATCCTGTTCTAGGTGGCTCTATCGCCTGCATCTCGCGATTGACGCCAACTTCCGCCTCAAGCGGAAGAAGGTGTCTAATGATGCGGTAGACCCAAGCCTCAACAAGGGGTGCGCGTACGTAGTTGAGGAGACGGCATATAAGGATCATATTGCCAAGTTCGACAACCAGCGTACCGACCCCACGCAGAGCTGCAACAACCACGACGCGGTCAAGCTGGCTACTCTCAAGGGTGGGGCCGGCCTCGCGGCTTCTGGGGTGGCTACGGTCGACTGCGCAAGGCATGACATGAAGCGTCCGTGTTCAACGGGCGACCTTCAGAAGGGTGAACGGTAAGATCTCTCTATGGTCGTCGTTTGTTTCAGTTAACTAACTGGTTACCTATAGATATGTGAACATCGACTACCTTGGCAACTCCTCCCTTCAGCAAAACACGCCCATCGACATCGCTGCGTCGTACGACATCTCCTGTCAGTACAGCCGCAAGTTCGACGAGCGGTTCGACAACTATGGCTTCGACGTCTCGCGTCACGACATCACCTGGGGAATTCCAAAGTTCCACATCAACGCCCACCAGGAGAAGTGCCGCGCGGACTACAACTGGCACTTCCTCCCGTGGTCCGCTCGTCTTGACGGGGAGGGTGTTGAACGTAACTGGGGGAAGTCCAACCCGGCCGCGGCTAGCACGAAGGAGATGGGGCCAGGCTCGCGCCGCGACTTCCTCGATGACATGTTCTCCCATCACAACTGGGTAAAGGTCTCCAATCTAGGTCCGTGTTTACGTCCCTTCGTACCGTATATCCCTGGGCTGACAGAACGTCACAGCAATGACTCTGCTCAAGAAGATGAAGAAGGCCGTCCCAGAGCGCGACACGCAGATTATCGCCTTTCAGGAATACAACAGCGCGTTCGCCCCTGCGACGACCGAGCAGTGGCGCCTCGCAGTAGAGGCTTGGGAGGCTGATTCGACGAAACCGAACCCCTTCCTCCTGAAGCGGCCTGGTAAGTGCTTCCCGCTTGTATTCGCCCTGCGCCTTCTCATCTTTCTATGCAGTTATCACCCAAGCTTCCATCAAGCGGCAGATTGCCGAGGCCGACGCGCAACAGCTGAAAGACGGCACGGCTGCCGCTCTGCACGAGAAGCTGTCCGCCAGTGGCGTGGTGATAGCAGGGCTGGAGATAGAGGAACACCAGTAAGCACCGCATCTTAACACTCTCCGCCATCCACTCATGTCTTGCTCAGGCGACGTTTGAGATCCGACTACGCCGAGTTATCCGCCCACCCCACAGACCTTCAACGTGCCCGTCTCCAAGAGCGACAAAATCAACTGCGCCGGAAGATCGACGCATGGGCGGATATCCAACAGTTGTACATGCCCGGCGTCGCTGCTCACCGCGAGCGTCTTATGTCTCAGTCCGATACCGCTGCCCTGTCTTACAACATCCCGCTCCTACTCCCTTCCGCCGCTACCGGTCTTCTGTCCTTCCCCGCGGCCATGCTCGAGCACGAATGGAGTCTCCGACATGCGCAGGCCCACGAAGCCTTGAGCGACCTGCGGGGTCACCTCGAGGTGCGCTCGCATCTATACAAGGTGAAAGATCGGTTCGTCCGCGGGCAGCGCGCAAACACTCGCGCGCACACCATCATCAAGACGGTCAACGCGAAGATCGCAGCGGACGCGGCGCGGTACCGCATCGCGTACCACTGCATGTACGTGCTCAGCGCGCCCTTGGCGAAGTCGAACTGGCAGGACGGCCTCCGCAACCTCACCGACGCGGACATACGGCACGTCACGGAGAGCGACGACAGTCAGTCTGAAGGGCGCCGGAAGATATCCTGGATCTGGAATGCTGGTGCGCCCTCCAACAGTCCCGGCGAGATCGATGCGTTGCAGGATAGTTTGCAAGAGTGTGAGTTCCTTGATATCGTCCCTACACGTTGTGGTACTTACGACCACTTGCGCTCGCAGCCCTACGCGTGGAATGGTGCAAGGCGCGCGCGCGCGCGCGGCGTTGGGCGGAGGAGGTCGAACTCTTGCAGGAGGAAATGCGCCGCGTCGTTTTGTATCATGACTGGGCCTCCCGTCAGTGGCTGGAGAGGGTGGATGCGAATACCGCTCAGTCGTCCGACTATCGCGATGGCGCCAACGCGTACGCATACCGCCAGTCGGCGGTTCGCGCGTGGATGCGGGACTTCTGTCATCATTCGTGGCGGTATGTTCCGGACTGGGTCAACCTTGGCGAAGCTAGTCTAGAAGAGACCCTTTGAATATCTTGCAGTCCTACATGTACACATCATCTAATACTGCGGTCCTTCCCCGTATCTTCACGTCTCGTATTCTTGTCATCCACGGTGTTCTTGTGCGCGTTTGTAGTAGCGTATACACAGTCATAATACCATATGTTCTTCGCCTGAACTTGTGTCGTGCAGCCTGAGGAAAAGCCGTGTGAAATCAACAACAGCACGTGATCGTACTCTAGACGAGCGAAGTCAGCGCTAACCACTTGTACTCCCCTTGTACCTCACCTACTCACTTCGACCTGGAGCCTCAACGTCCTCCTGTCTCCTGCCTCCTATTCGTCTAATATCTATGGTACTGGCCTGGCCGGGGCACACTCCTTGATCGTATAGAGGGTCTTAGCAGGGGTAAGTCTCAATGATTCTTTGAGTTACGCTGCGCTACAACGTCTCTTACGCTTCCCCGCTCCAGGCCATGTCTGTGCCAGTCTCGTTCCCCCACAACCCGCCATACACTCTTTTCGACGCCGGCATTCCACTCTCTGCGACCTAACTCCAACAAATCCAACCTTCGCCAACTGTGTGGCCATGCATAGGCCGCCAACGCCGCTGGCTGCGTAGGGGACCCTCCTCCACTCATCCAAACCATCCTGGACTTCTAATACGCTACCCCCCGAGTCATATTATCACACAATACGGCGTCCGCGTGCTACTTTCGCTGTGCTTTCCACCCACCGCTTGTGAGATCCACCACCTATGTGTGGTGCTACCTGCGCTGCCACTCACCCTAGCCCCCGTTCATCCACCCCGCCTGCACGCCGCCCCCTGCCACCCTGCCAGCCTGCGCGCCGCCCCTGCCGACTTGGCCCACGCGCCGCCAGCCTGCCTGCGCGCCGCCCCTGCCAGCCTGGCCCGCGCGCATCTACCCCGCCTGCGCGCCGCCTGCCTGCCTGCGCG